ACCTCAAGCCACTGATTACTTTCCCTCCTCCGAAGACATTTAGAGGCCCCCATCCAAGAGAAGGAGACAGAAGGGGACATGCACCACTATGTAATATTAGCCACTGGAGTTAGACATATTAAATATCCATATAATCATGATCCACATGAAAGCGACCAGGTGCTAAAATCACAAGTTATCAAAGGAAATTGCTATACTTGCACATTCCTGTGATCTGTCTCATCCAACATCTTGTGCCATTCCCTGCTAACAGTTTGCAGTGAGACGTGAATACGGCATCAGGTTTAATGGAAAGATGATTACATTTTAGTAATAAGGTAATAACCATTTTATCCCCATACAACTGTTGCCATGCTACAATTTACTGGTGTGCAAATTACTTGTGAGGAATCTTCCTCTTCCACAGAAAAGGGGCAACTGTACTGAAAGGTGCAACATACAATTCCACTGCTTCACCTGGATCCTTATGGGTGCACTCTCAAGCTATTTACATATCTAGGGTATTAATAAACAACATCATGCTTAGTCGCACTGGAGGACATACTTTCTTCAGCATTTATACATGATTCTGACATTTTCTTTCCATCAAGCCTGTGATGTTTCTTCCAGTGTTACATGATCCCATACTCATTACTAAAACTACATTTCTGTATACTTCTAGAACAAGCTTCCATCAGCTTGGTCCACTCATTGTCCTTTGACACATTGATTTTGTCACTATAACTCATATTGTGTTCCTGCCCATTCAATGAACATTTCCCATGTATCATGCATTTGGTGAAATCATTATAGCATTTCTGTAAGGTCACAAACACCGGTTGCACCAGACACCGCCCTCCCTTTCCCGCACCAAACCTCAACATTTAGTGAACAAAGACTACCTCATCATTCTTTGTAGTTACTGTAAGACCTGTTTAATAAATGTTACTGTGTTTAAAGCATTATTACCATTTTACAAAACAGGTAAAAAGGCATGTATAATTTAAATAACTAGCACACAAAGTCTACATGTCTACACTGTGCTCTAATTATTAAACCCTTCTGCACTCAAATAATATTGGAAAAAAATTAATGTATTTAAGTGTATTGATGTGCTCTCCTCTCCCCACTCCCCCCCACTACTGCCTTTCATTTAATGATAGTTTTAAATTTGGCTTGTGTTTAAAAATAGAGGTGCTTTAGTTTTAAAAGAATAAGCATAAATTTCCTTTCTAGTTAATTCTGCTTTTCAGTTAGATGTTTGATGCAATTCAAGCTAATGAATAGTTAAACAAGGTCTTGAGACACTCCTTCAAATTCATGGAATTAATATTGCAGTATTTATAATGCAAAGTGGCCTGCAGCACAATAATGACTATTCTCAAGTAAAGGGTTTCCCATAATAAGGCTGCAGGTGAGCCAGGGGCATCATCATGCTATTTTACAACAGGCAATTCATGACAGTAAATTGTTCCTTCTCCACAAACATGCTGGAAAACCCCATCCATACACAAACAAGGACAAGTTAAGGGAGCAAAAAAGAGGGGTCTACTGTGCATGTCATAAACAAGGTGTAGCAGCTGTCCACTGAACGAAAAACAAACTTTAATATTGAATAAATCTATTAAAGAAAAAGGCAAGAGACAGTATAAATCAAACCCACCATCATGCTTGGGCTGACCATATGCTCTCTCTGCTAAGTTTATTAAAATCCTACAGCTGTTATAAACCCAGCCAGTTCTGGAAGTTGTTTCGAGCCAGTCTTCCACTTTGGTTCAAAAGTTCAATTGTACCATCTTGATCAACAACCCTGTGAACTTAAGTGGCAAGTGACATCCATTCTACTGATGGAAAGAGGATGACTATTAGAAAGGAATAAGATAAGAGTGTTATAATTACTGTGTGTTAAAAAAAGGAAATTCAGGAGAGGCTACAAGCTCAAGGAAAATCTTCCAAAAAAGAGTAAAGACCACATCCTGTTTGGTTCTCTCAGGGCACAGCTAGTCAGCAGAAGGAAACTGACCAAATAGATCTTCCTGTCCTTTAGCTCCCTTTGATTAGAAGTACATACACAATCCTTTCCTTGACACATTTCCCATGTCAAGTGATGTTTTTGTCCTATTCACCTCTGAAATCAGTAGGAGCTCAAATAAAAATCAATAGAAGCATCTGCAGTCAGTAAGACCAGAGAGCAGTTTTACTCTACAAAAGTTGCTATAACAAGGATGAGTGTTTCCCATTTGTAGCTCATCAATTTCTGAAACAAGCAAGCTATTGGCAAGTAAGATCATATTTCTAAATTAAAGATCCTGGCATGTAACTGCATGTACATTAAGACATTAACTAAACTTCCCAGAATCTTCAGAGGCAAGCAAAAGAGAATCTAGTGCTAATTTTTTTTTTTTAAATGTCAGTGTGAAATAAGTATAGAGGAGAAAGCTAACTTATGGACCAATGGTTCTCTCATCTACACAGTCCCAGTGAATAGTAAAAGGAGGCTCCCCTTGCTGGATTTCTCAATGTTAAACCTCTTCCAATTGATAGCTTTCAAATACCACAAAAAACTAGTTTGGCCTGATTTTCAGAGACAGCAAAACACAGGTGTTTCCCCAATTATCTATCTCAATAACATTATCTATAAAAGCTGGACATGCACTTGGGAACGTACTTTGTAAATAGGCGGATCTGCCACCATTGTGCTCTGTAACTGGAGAGAAAGTAGAAATAAAACAAAATCTTGGTGAGGAAATGTATGCCTTACCCTTACTTATACTTTCTTCATTTCCATTAATGTGTTAAATATTAGTACTAGAGATGCACCGATACATCGGTCCAATGTTGGATTGGTACCAATATGAAGAAAAGTGTCTATATTGGAAATCAACCCGATGGGGCCGATAACTTGGCTAATAAATGCCAGTGCTGCGTGCAGCCGCAGCACAGCACGGAGCAGAGGCGGCAGTGTGCAGAGCTGCCTCCAGCTGGTAAGTTGGAAGGGGAGAGAGGGGAGGGAAAAAGCACGGGGGGGGGCAGATCAAGGCCCGCTGCAGTGGGGGGCGGCGGGGAACTAAGACACAGCTCATGAGGTGAGGGCAGCTCCTGCCACTGCTTGCGCCCCGGGGGGGCAGCGCCGGGCCCCTGGATCTGCGCGGCACAGGGCGGGCTGCGGCGCTCTGTGGCTCTTCTCGCTGGGGGTTGGGCTAGGAGCGGGCTCTGGAAGGAGGCTGCACCCACCCCAAACTTAATTGCAGCTCCACTCCCAGCCCCGCACCACCACCCAGCGCAGCTCTGGTTCAATGCCACACCTCCACCCAAGCGCTAGGAAGAGTCATGGCTGCGGCAGCCAGTGGCGCAGGGCTGGGAGTGGAGCTGCAGCGAAATCTGGGGTGGCTGCAGCCTCCTCCCAGCGCCGCCGGAGCCTGCTCCAAGCCCACCCCCCAGCCAGAAGAGCAGCGCAGCGGCCACTCGCCCCGCGCCGTGCAGATCCGGGGGCACGCAGCCCCGCCCCGCCCCTCCCGGGG